CTATTTACACATCTATGCTCTGTGGTTATCTCAATGCAGATTTTAATAGTAGTCTCGAATTGCTGCTTATATCAACTAGCAAACTACATGATATTATATTAATAATCAAAAAATTTCAAAATTTTCATATAGCTTCTAATTCTCTACTCTTAAATCATTTCGAATTAAAATTCTTTTTAATAAGCTATCTACTCCTCATATATTATATAAATGCAATTATCATATTTCACCCAACTATTATCAATACAATGAAATTAGTATACTACTATATTGGGTTACCTGCTTATTATCTGCACTATTATATAATCTTATCAATAACTCTTTACAACAGATTATCAACTTAACATTATTAGATATCTTACCAGAATTAATTATTACAATTTACAATTAAATCAAATATCTTGATAGTATGATACTTTATTACAATCAACATACTCCATCTATCAACTCTACTTTGTCTGAGCTGATTCCTCTTGATATTATAAATCTACTTAAGAATATTACTTTATCTGCTATATTAGTATCAACTATTACTATTAAATTTTTTTTATATCTTAATTTACAAATTTATCACAATATCTGGTTATTTTATTATATTTCTTATATGTCAATTTAATTTTCTAATAATACTATATCTTTTCTACTAGTTTTATCTCTTTCTATCTCTCAGTCTTCTCAACCTCTACTACTTACTATAGCTAGTGCTAAAATAGTATTATGATATTCTTTATGAATTAAATATCAAACAAATTAAACTATATAATTACTGTCATAAATGATGCTAAATTTGGCTAATGCTAAATATCACATGAAAATTTGGGCCAGAAATTGCAAATCACATGTCGATTATAAAATTCAAAACAAACATCTCTTTGTCAAAAATCATTGATTTCTCAAAAATCATCATAAAAAACAACACTTTGTATATTAACAAAAGTTTTCTTTAAGTGATTTTACTATATAATCTTCTAAACTTTAACATTAATATAGTGATAATTCTAATACAAATAAACTTGAAAAACTTTGTTGTTGGTTAGAGTTTGTTTTAATTTTTCTCTGATCGATATATGATCTGCAATTTCTGGCCCAAAGTTTCATGTGATATTCAACATTAGCCAAATTTAACATTAGCTACTAATCTACAAATCTAGATAAGCCATAGTCACTCTAGTTGGTTTAGACTACAGATAAATTAGTCTGAGTTTTTTTTCTTGCTATCTTAAGATATAAAATTTAAATTGATTCTTTTCTTTGTGAGGATATTCTTTTTATTGTAAAAGAATTAAATTAAAATTAAAAATATGGTCTTACTATTAATATTCAAAAAAAAATCTCTATATTAGTTATATCTTTTTACAATTACAGTTTTTTGTATTCTGAAGATATGACTATAGAAGGGTTTGATTATATATAGTAATAAATTTTTTTAAAAAACTATATATACATATATTATAAATTTGCCAGAATTATTCAAAATTGTTAATTTTTAATTAGTTTATATTATATTGTATAATCATCATATAACAAAAAATAATACACAATCTTTAAATACATATTTCTCATTAAATATTTAATCAATTTTAATGATTTTATCACCATTAAAATCAGAAATCTATTTTGCAACTTTATTTAGAAGAATTAATATATGTGTACCCTAAGAGTATACTAAAATTTTTTGTACCTGACATAGCGCTGTGTAACAATATAATGCACCCTGATCATAGGGTATATAAACAGTGATTTTTTTTTTTTTAATTGGTTTTTTTGTTTTGTTCTAGCCCCATACTAATATAATTTTTTTTTCCAGTCGAATAGAAACTTGGCTCATCATTTTAGTGCCACTTCTGAATTCGTATCGTCACTTTTTGGTGTCATTGGTATTGTCGTTTCGCTTTTGGTACCATTGGAATTATCATTCTTGGCGTCGTAGACTTGTTGTCTTGCTGCTAGAATATGTGTTGCTGAATTTGTATCGTCGCTTTTTGGTCTGTAGACTTATTGTCTTGCTGCTAGAATATGCATTGTTGTTTTGTGGTATCGCTGTTGTAATTTTGGAAAATTTTGCGCATTTTGCGTGTTGCCATTCTGGGTCTCATTTTTTTCTCTTGGGTGGTGTCGTTTATATTATTTATACTGATATTTTTTGATTTGTGAATACGATTTTCTAGGGTTCATACGATTATGAAGCCAACAATGGGCTTATTCAAAAGATGATTATATTTACGAGTTGGGTTGGTTCTTCGGTAAGCAACTTTCGTGTTAGTTTTGTTTCTTTCTTCTATTAACACTGTCACTAACTAAATCTTTTTCTTTTAATCACGACCAATTCGGCACGTTGAACGGCCAAAAACTCTTATATTGCTTACAGTTGTTATTATTATTCTGAATGACTATACATGGGTTTTAGTTGATTTATAAGTTGAAATATACATAAAATATGTAAAATACTAGAAGGCTTTAAATGACTCTATTTACAGTGCAGCAGTGACGATAATAACAGATAACCAAAAAAAATTTAGAAGAGCTAGCAGTTCAAACAATTGCTAATCACTTAGATGTTAACAGGTCTTCAATAAGTCGAGTTTTCAAATGATTTCAAAAATTTGGATGTGTTGAAAGACTTCAGAAAACCACGTCTACTAAGCTTGAATGATATAAAATACCTTAAGATTTTAATGGAAGAAAAGCCTAAATGATATTTATATAAGTTACAATCAGAAATAGAGCTTGGTTAAGATATGAAAGTAGAGGCTATTGAAAGTCTTGTAATGTTTTATATGTTTTGCATATGTTTCAATTCACAAATTGATTAGTAATCACATGCTGAAATCAAACTTGTTGAATCGGCAAGAAAGTCATTCGGCTAACTTTTTTATAAGTTGCCTCAGGAATGATGATATTATCACTATACTCAATATCGGGCCAGGCAACATGAACTTTTATTTTGTATAGCATTATAGGGTAGTTTAGATGCGTTTTATATAGGATACCTTGTATTACTTTTAGTGTAGTTATTTTAAAGTACGATATTCAATTTATTTTAGGCGAAAAGCCTAAATAAGTTTAATAAAATCATTTTTCCTAACAATTTTAATCTATCTAACTATTCTGTCATGTGCTGTCGTTCGAGTTACAGATTTTTTATATCACAGTTATTAATTAAATAAGGGATCACTAAAGCAAGGTATCTATGTGATTTTGCCATTTTTTAATTAAGGGTTAGTTTTGTATTAAAGGTTAGAGTAGATATATAGGTATAATTACCTTCCCACATTTTTTATTAATACTACAAGACAGGTTTAGACTACTGTTTTTTATATTTTGGGGCACAGCATATACGTGCTTTAATGTACAGCAAAATGGCCAGAATTAAACTAATCGATACAGTGTAGCCGGCATTATAGTTAGGTTTAGCATTGGGGTATGCAGAATTAGTTACACGTGTGCTGTATCGGTATATCTTCTCTATATTATTTTTTCCAGTATCGATACCAAACAATGCAGCATGTGATGACGATAAAATTCTTGAGATTCATGTTAGTGTTATGCTCCGGTTAGGCATTAACAGAGGTATAGTAGTAAAATCGCCCAAGGAAATTTTTGCTAGTGCGCTAAAGGTGGTTTTTTCTGTGAATTTTTGAGTTATAAGCAACTTTGGGCAAAACGAACATTTGTTTTGATTTTTTCTGATCGTTTAACCTTATTAGTTTGTGCCACAAAACATACGTAATTACATTTTTTGGTAGTGATACTGGGTTAGTTTCTATTATTATTATATACATGTGACTAGGGTACATGTACCTTAGGGTACATATATATAAATCCTATTTAGAAATATAAAAATCATTAACTTAATACAGTAAAATATTAAAAATAAAAAATTTACTATCAAAATCATAAAAAATGATCTATATATACATTACCTTTAAACTACAGTTATTCTCCTCTACAGTCACCTCCTATATAGTCACACCCTCTTTATAAACACTATTTTTTAAAAAAATTATTGGTAATTTATTTATAAAATGACTATTTCCACCCCATTTTTGCTAATACCACCCCCCAGATATCAAAAGGTGCTCCGGAATAAATATTCTTATTAAGTAAATCCTTCTTTTGATCTTAATAAAAATTGTTCATCAGGCCTTTCCGGTTCTAATGATAGTAAAATCGTTATACTCGGACCAGTAGTTTCTAAGATATTTATATCCAAAGTTAGCTAACTTTCATTCACTTTTTAAAAAAAATTATCAGTCCGATTTTAATGATTTTACTATCATTAGAACCGGAAAGGCCTGATGAACAACTTTTATTAAGACCAAAAGGTGGGTTTTCTTAATAGCAATACCTCTTCTGGAGCACTTTTTTAAATTTTGGGGGTGGCATTAGCAAAAATGGGGGGTGGAAATAGCAATACTCTTTATTTATTAAAAAAACTTTATATGATTACAATACGATTAAAATTTTATAATCACATCTTTTTTATGTAAAACAAACCGCGTGATTATAGAAGAGGACGACTGTACTTGAGATTAAAAAATAAAACTTAGGATAAATTTAATATAAATTAATTTATTTAACCAATAAATAACAGCAAACATTAGAACACAGTATTTTATAATTAAGCTGGTTCTCAGAATTTAATTTAAATCCAAAAAATTTAAAACCTAAACCAAATCTACACTAATTTTATCATTCATAAGTAAGTAATTACCTCTTCAAAAGTTAACATATTTTTATTATAATCTAGCGCTCACATATACAAACATGTGACATCTTCAATTTATTTTCAGAACAACCGTTATTTTTAAGCGACTGCATGTAACGCTTCAATTGAAATCTCATGACAATATCTAAATTATGTGTAATAGCCAATAAAAACATTTCGATAAATTGAGTTTAAATAACAGTAACGCCATTAAATTTATTATTTACAATACTTTATGACTGCTAAAAAACGTTGCATTGTACTTTATTTTTTTCGTATGAAGTTAACTTGATTATTTCTTCGATTTGATTTTTCTCACATAAAATTCGAGTTCTTTCCCCTCAAGAATATAACCATCGGCACGACCACATTGGCCTGGTCTTGAACGTAAGAGGGCTAAAAGTTTAAAGCAATTCATTATCAAATTCAACTTGCATTGAATACAAAAAAAAATAAAGTATATGTATGTATATATATCTTACCATAAAGGCGGCCAGTAGTAAATTGGTCATCCAATAAGGGGTCAACCTTTGCATCCTCTTTACGACTGTCAATTTTTCGTTGAACATGGTTAGATCGCTTCTTGCTCAATTCTTCTGATTCAGCCTTCAAGAAAATAAAATAAAAAAATTCGATTAAATTATAAGTGCTTAATGTTCAATTTATTAATTTATTCTAAGTGTTAAAACCAGCATTCACAATAACCACAGCAAACATGATAAGCAAGAAGACGTTTACATACTTGGCCTTCCTTCTTGGCCTTCCTGCGACCGAGAGGTTGAGCATAGTGCGCTTCAAACCATTGCCTAAAGGGTGTAGCATCGATTTGAATGATTGCACCTTTTACAAGAGTATTGGTTCGAACCAATTCGTTGTTTGAAGCGTTATAAACAACAGCAATGATTCTCGTTTTCTTGGTAATAGATTCTGATCCCCAAGAAAAGTTACCGGAGTCAAGACGAAGGGCACGAAACTTTTTATTCCCGCCACGAACACGGACTTCATGAATACGTTTTGGTCCAAGTTTCGTGTTAGCTGGCTGACGGCCTAATTCAAACTTTCTTTTTTTGCGATATTGAGCCCGTTTAGCACCTGTGTGCGAACGCTTGTGGCGGGAGTCTCTGCTAATACCTATTTCGCATTGAAAAGATCACAGCAATTTGAAGTTTATAAATGTAATTCCTTTAAAACTTTCTTGTGTTTTCAGGTTGTCTACAATTTCAATTTTTTGAGAAAGTGAAGTGATTTGATATAAAAACGAATTTTTCGTTTCGTTATGAATTTATCGAATGTTTATAAACAATAAAAATCGACCGATTGCAGTTGACAGTTTATTAAGCTGAAACGGATTATTGTGTGGATGAATTTTATTTTTACTAACCCATGTTATTGTCGCCTTTATCACAAAAATTGCAAGAGGAAGTTTACGAATTCTGAAACGGGTGATCTTAAAAAATTTTTAAAGGTCCCGGCAGGCGGAAATACATAGCCAATAAAATTGGATATTTTTAATATTTATATATCCGATAAGTAATCCGCAGATAAAGGTTTTTTTTTTTTTTAAAAAAAAAAAATCACACAGTAAAAGATAAAATAAAAGTGGAAGCCATTTTTTGTCGATTTCGTTTAGTGATTAGCCGTCCCAGGCATGGCTCCATTTTATCAACGACCAGAAAATGCTCTTAAAAGAGCTGAAGGTATTTTCAATTTTTCAGATCAATAGTTTTAAGAACTGGTTAACGATATTCGGCTACTTGTAAGAAATTGATTGCAAGCAATTAGTGAGAAATGCATTACGAATTTGTCTTTAATTTATTTTTTTCTTAATAACTATCATTCATGAAATTCAACGATACAACATTTGAATTTAAATATAACGTTTGAATTTAAAACCTTCGCACTTATATATTGCAATTTTTTTTTAGAGCTAATTGCGGTTGGCCAAAACGTAGCCGCCCTTACATCTCTCCACGAAATAGTAATTTCAAAGCGTTCACGTAGTACATCTCTCACTGCGTTAGAACCGATCATGCTTCGATTTGTGGAATTGTGTGTCAATTTAAGAAAGGGTAAAACGGCAAAAGAAGGTTTGCATCAGTACAAGAATATCTCTCAAAATACAAGTGTTACAACTATTGAGTATAAAGTATTTATAGTAAAAAGAGAGTAAAGTAATTTTTAAAAGCCATTATATTTAGAAATAACAGATT